TGCCGCCGCTCCGGCGGCATGATATGTTTTACCGTTAAGCTCGGATGCCGCCGCTCCGGCAGCAAATCGTGTCGGCGACGACTCGTCGCAAACTAAACTTACATTTAATTTTTTTTTATTTTTTAAAAATTAATTTACTATTACATTCATTTATTGATTGATTTATTAATTTTATAAATAAATATATAACAAAATTAATTTATTAGCTCATGATCCCCATAATTCTAATAAAGATCTGTGAAGAAATGATTTTTTAAACAATATAGCATGGTTTTGAGTGCAATTTTTTTAATTTTCAAAATTTTCTATTTTATTATCATAATAACTATATTTAAAAGCAATATAACTACATTTTGAAAAAATCCGATACAAACAAAAATTCCGAGTTGAGAGATAAGTATAGCACTATAATATTCCGAGCGCAGCGTACCGACTGGCAGTCTGACTCCCGAGTCGAAAGTGTTAATATATCGCGAATAAATGTCACTCAGCTGATAAATATGTCTGACAAAATACCAGATCAAGGTTATATACAGTGTTATTTTGTAAAAAATGTACCCTACAAAATTTATATTTTGCATCGGTTGAATAATGTAACTATTACTTCGTAAAATCCCTTCAAAATTAAAAATAAGAGATTGGATCTGATTCAAGTGAAAATTAGTTTTTTTAGGAAAAGTTGTATATGATTAGTACACTGCTCCTAGAGTACTCTTATTGATAATATATTTTTGTTTGTAACTTGAAAGCATATTAAATTGCAGTAAAGAATTATGATAATAGAAAATGATACATAAAATATTTTGTATGAATTTTTAGAATATTCTATTTATATTGTAAAAACAAATTACATGTTATTTCAGATAGTATAAATAATTGAATTGGTAAATATTTGAATTACGAATTATTGTACAACCGCATAATATGGGTAAATATACCAAATATTAGTGATTGCAATTTTTAGTTGCAGTTAATTTCACTTACAAATAGATTTTATTAAAATTAATTAATGTATAATAATATTGTTTTGTAAATAAATATTTACATAGAAAAAACTTTGAATGAGAAAGTCAAAATGGCAATATTTTGATTTTATTTTATTTAAATAGTATAAATAATAATATATGGTAGTAAATATTAATATAGAAATAATAATATAAATTAAAAAAAAACATTTTTTATCTTTTATTTGAGTGTCAATATGCCTATTATGAAGGCATTTAGTAATTGTTTAATTATTTTTAGTGGCTTTTTAGAAAGCAAAAATGTAGTTCTTTTTTGTTGTGATATTTTTTTTAATATACATAAAAAGTATTTTTTGAGTTATTTGATTTTGCAAACAATTTTTACTTTATATCATATATTTATATTCATAATTCTATGTGAAAATGTAATATCATTCTGGTTGATATCAAACTGGCCGAAGTGGGATTGAATCTGTAGTAATTGCTATATATATATATATATATATATATATTTATATATGTATATATATATGTATATATATATATATATATATGTATATATATTTGTAGAGCTTCGAACGAAGGATCCAAAAAGTAATAACAACAAAAAAGTTTTTTAAAAAACAGTTTTTTTTTATTTAGTTACTGTCGACGTTTCGGATCTAGGTACGTTTCATCTTCAGGACATCTGCCAAGAAACATGATCTTGATAAAATTTAAACGAACAATATATTTAAGAAAAACAAAAAATAGTGGAATTTTATAAAATAAATAAAACTGTGAAAGAGGTAACATTATATAAAAGATGACAATACAATCAAAATAATAATAATCAAAATAAATGAGTAAATTATATAACGAAATATTAGAAATATTAAAAAATTAAAAAGTTGTTGAAAAAAAAAGGTTTTGAATTAAAAAAAAAACAGAATTAATTACATGTACACTGTTTTTCAAACAACTTTGTTTTTTAATACTTTTTGAATTGTTTGTTCGAAACTCTACTACTTTTCTGGGTTCCGTACCCAAAGATAAGCCATTAATACTAATTCCTAACATCCGTAATCAAATCGTTAATGATCAAAATGTATCGATTCGTCGCGAATGTTGATTGAAAATTTTATTAATCATGCGCTATAAATTATTGGTATATTCATAGTTGTCAGCAATAATCACTATTAATGATCAAATAACATTCAGAATTGTTCATAACGGTATTATATCCGCTTTCTGCTGTCTAATAAATTTACTTATATTAAATTTCTAGTTACATTATTTATTTGTAAAATATTTTAGAATGTAATTGTAATAAAGGAACAAATGGAATTATTAGACTTAAGATGATTGAAACGCATATCTGAAGATAATTGTAGTTATTCCAGGCTGCTAATAAGATGATTAATTTATATATAATACATTTTCTGTCTTATGCAGGTATTATTAAAGTCATCGTAATATACGATAGAAGAAAAAACACTAAAAAAATTATAATTTGATTATAATCTCGCCCACCTCGATAATAAACTGATTATTAAACCGATGAAAATGATATCAAATTTCCACATATGCTATTTATATAATACAAACTAAATGCTACTATTATAGTTTACAAATAAAATAGAAGTGTGGTTGACGGTTGGGTTACCCACTCGAATCTAATTTTATACAATAGTGATATATTTGCCACATTTGAGAAAATCGATACATAATATATTTAGCAAATATAAATTTAATTATCAAATATGTGTCTTGGGGGTTAACACCATGGAAAGGTAAAATAACAAATATTTTATGAGAAGAAAGTAGACTGGATACGGTTATGCCAGGCAACGGTAGTGACAGTCATCATAACAGCTAAATTATACTGATTTTGAAATAGAGTCTAAAGAGAGTTAGATGAAGTATGTTTGATCGAACAAGTTTGCATCAGCGAGAAGGCGCCCTACATTAACATGATATGTAGACCAAATTGCTTTTAAAGAGCCAAAAATAAATATAAATACAGCAATACCACGCTTAACGCTGTTTCGTTTAGCGCTGCTTCGGTTTAGCGCTCTTTCATTTCAACCCAGGGATTCCAACATTTGTTGACATTTTTGTAAGTAGGTAATAATTTACATATTTAATACTATATTACGGTGTCAAATCTTTTGATCTTTAGTTTTTACTATGAGTGATAATGCAAAAGGCAAGTAAGAAACCAGAAAAAGCATTTTTCATGCATGTTGAAGTCACTTAAAACTAAAATGAAAGTGATAAGAAGATTAGATTCTGAAGAACGTCAAACTCTAATTAGTGTTTCATAGAATTTGGCAACTTCAACAACAATAAGAACCATATGAAGAAAAAAGAAAAAATACTGCCATCGGCAACTACAACTACGTCAAAATTTGCAACTAGAATTACCCGTTCTAGAAATAATATCATAGATCAATTGGAAAAACGACTGTCTATATGGATTAACGACAAAATTGACCGCGATATGACATTATGCGAATATTCGCCTAGCCCCAATATTTCCATGTGAAGATCTCGTTCAGAGCTGTTTCGCATTACGCTCTACTTTGATGAAACATATCCCACGCGTTAAGCGGGGTAGTGCTGTAGATAGAGAAAACTCTAACTTTGCTAAGCCAAAATACGAAAGAGAAAGGGAAAGAAAAATTCAATACAAGAAACCAAAACATTTCACAAAGATTTATTGTTTGAAAAAATCACACCCGTCCCTCGGATGTGAACGGTTGTGACACTCGACCCTTTGCTGTATGATAACCAATCCACCGTATTTAAGGACAGTATTTCAGTATTTCCTAGTTGACAAATGTTCAAATTACCATTTAATTTACTTTTCTCCCAGCTTACTAGTAAATTAACAAAACTATTGCTGATAAAGTGGCACAACCGTACCCAGTCTGCCATATATATAAAAATTACAAAATTATCTCTACTTGAAAATTCTTAAAATAGTTTTATCCACCTTCAAAAACAAAGTTCCCTATAGAGGCGTGGGCTTTGGTAAGCAAATGCAATTTCATGCTGTCAAATTTTGTTCTCGTTTCCATAAAATTCGCGAAAAACATAAGGAGACGGTAATATATATATATATATATATATATATATATATATATATATATACATGTATGTATATAATGATATTTGTTTTGAATTTGAAAGTGCAGTAGTATATTATTAATATTATTCAGAAATTTTCTTGGTTTGGAAAAAATCGCAAAAAATAATTTTGTTTTTCGAAAAGTTCAGGAAAAGCTTGATTATTAACTATTAACAGGGTAAGTTAATGCAATCCCAAAAAAATCTTTCTGCATATCTTTATCTTTATTAAGCTAAATCAGTGCGATTGATTTGAAAAAAAGTTCAAAATTTACAAAATATTTCAAAATAAAAAAAAATGAAAAAAGCAATTTTTTTTCAAAAGTATCTGAGTTCTCAAAAAAAAATTTCAAAAAACTGAATCTTTTTTAAAAAAAATAATTTTTGGTATCGAATTCCAGCAATTTACTTAAGGCACGATGCCATACACAACTAGTTTTTTTCAAATTTGCATACTTTATGCTATTTATTCTAAATTTTGTCCAAAATTATGCAGTATTTTTATTTACTAGTATAAATGAAAAAACATCTCACATGTATAAATTATCAATAATAATTAACAAGAAAATTGAAACAGACCAGAAAATATAGAAAGTCTCTACTTCGAACAACAAAGGATCTTCATTTGAAAATCGTTATTTAATTTTTATTATTTTTATCATTTTTTTCTGCTACGTTAACACATTCTCTGCCCATAATTATGTAGAAAGTACAATTAGAAATGTATGGGATTGTTTATACTGTGTATGACAAGTTGTCAACGTGTTGTGGTGGGAACAATTGTCTCGTTAATTTCAACAAATGAAATTATTTTCAACAGTGATGTACAAGATTCTGACGTTTTGAGAAGATAATCGTAGAAAGTTCAAGTAGAATTGGAGAATGAAATTATCTATATATTTATAGAAAAACATGTGTAAATACCTGTGCTATACTCGTATGTTGAGTTCCAGGATTGAGGCTCCTTGTCAATGTATAAAAATCCACGTATCAGCAGTCATAACCTGTAATTAAAAAATAATTTGTAAAAGTTGTAACAAAAAAAAAGAAAAATAAGCTATTAAAGTGGCTTTTTTTAAAAAAAAGTCATTTGGTCCTTTATATCCCATAGGCGGAGTAAAAAGGGATGGCCAGGGGGTAAACAATTCCAATGTCTTATTTTTAATTCTAAAAAATTTTACCAAATAAAAGCTACAATATTCAATTAATGCAAAATATAAATTTCATGGGTACATTTTTTACAAAGATAATACTGTATATAACCATGATCTAGTATTTCGTCAGAAATATTCATCAACAGAGTTGGAATAACCATTAATTTAATTTATTTCTAATAAAATTGCTTTTTTAACTAAAGTTAGAATTTTTTTCACTATTTTATCTTCTTTATACCTTTCACAGGGTAAAAGTTCAGTGGTCTTTTTTACCCCACCCAATTGTATGCTTTTATGGAGGTTATATAAAAACATCTGCAGAAGCTAACGTAAAATTAACAATACATCTTAAAAAACAATTAAATAACGTATACTTAAAATTTATATTAAAGTCTGGTAAACTAAACAACAGTGGTCACAACCAAAGAAACTAACAAGGAAAAAAAAATACTTTTGTTATAGATATTCAAACATGGTCGTCTATCTCCTGATACAGACATTGCTTAATTTAAGGCAATGGCTAAATATACTTTTCCCCCTACTTTCAAATATTCATGTTAAAATATACCTAACTTTACTTGTACTTGAAATATAGGTGGTGGTGGACCTTTTTACCCGCGGACCTGTAAGCCCCGCTCTACCCTACTTATGAAAATAAATATGAAGAAAATATATAATGAGAGCAAATTGTTAACATTTTGCTTTCATTATATATTTTCATATATATTCATTCATTTATATAAAAATATTTTTGAATAACTGGAAAATTCGTTGGAATTTCATTTAATTACGTGTATCTTCTTTTCTTCAGGAAACAAGTATAAAATTACTAAAATATTTTAATGTAACAAGTATCATTAATAAAGCCAGTAACCTTTTGTAAATTAAACATTACGAATTTGGGAAGGAATATAAAATGTAACGGTTGTGCACCTATTCGATTATTATTATTACAGAATGAGTTGAGAATCTTCCCACGAATGTGGAGCAAAATGAAGACTGTGAATATGTAACACGAAAATTAACAACAGCACAATACTTTCAGAGTGATAAAAATATCTGTACAATGAAATAAATTATTCAGACGAACGTTTAGAATAATTCAAATTAGCATCTAAGGAGTCATAGAAAAAATGGCAAGTTTTTGATACTGAAAAACGACTAAATAAATTTTCTTCGATGAGAAAACGTTTGTTTTTTTATCAAAAAAATATACAGGCTTGACTCATAGTATTATCATTAATAGTAGGGGTGACTACCCAGTCGTACCAGGGTATGGTAGTGACTATCGTTATAATTATTTTAGAGTCCAAAGGAAGAAAGATGTAGTATGTTTGTTCGAACAAGTTTCCATTATTGCATTGAGTCAGCCTGTAATAACACAATCTGTAGACCGCATTGATTTTAAAGAGCCAAAAGTAAGTTTTTTCGTTAGATTTCTTCTAATAATAACTGTTACTTAAATACAGATAGATTACTTTATTTTTAATATAATTACCAGCAATTAGTTTTTGCGTAGATAATGTAGCTCGTTCATAACTATAATTTGTCTCCAAAGGTGATCGTTGAGTACGGTTGTGACATGTTTTTTATATTTTTTTTGGTTGAAAGGCTAAACATGTAAAAATCTCATTGAACTAAGACAAAACACGTGAGAAAATGGGCAAGAAAAAAGCAATAGAAGAGAAGAAATATTCTGTCTGGTTTGTGAAAGCTCATATTAAGAAAGTAAGGGTAGCAAAACATGTTTACTTGCATATAAAATATTGCTTGCTATGATTTCGAGTTTGTTAATTCTTGAAAAATTCAAACTATTTTGAACACCTACATAAAATTATTATATTAAGATCAAATGCTTTGGTTTTCTCTTAGAAATTTCATGCCAGTTATTTTCCACTGTAGTGAATCGTCTTGTTTTTGACACGACGTAATCGTGATATGTTCACTGAACCTAAAAGTAACGCTGTCGTGAGCTTTCAAACATTTATTTTCTTACTTGAAAAGGAATTTTAAGATTTTTGTTATAGTATTTGTTTTGCATTAGATAAAGAGAAAATAATATTTCTAATCTAGACTCACATACTAACGCTCACTACATTTACTTTACTATTATAACGTCACCCAACGTCACCTCAAACTGATTTTTTTAAGTAAAACTTCTTCAGGCGCGACTAAGGTGTAAATCCATACAAATGCAACGAAAGTGCGGCAGATAAGAGTCGAGTGCCAATGATTCGTCATTCGCTCTCGATGATATCATTTCTATACGGGTCGATTGTGATTAGTCGTCGTGTATGTGAATAAAGATCTGTCGTTTTATGCGTACCGGCATCGACGTTGTATGCGTACCGATACCAACAAGGAAATCGGCATAGATAAATAAAAATTTTAAAGTTACATCGGAGTACTAATCTTGATTTATTGAAAAACTCCTGAATCTGAAGAATATTTTAACCTGTTCCTGGAAAATAATAAAACAAATTAAACATTTGTTCCGTGAACAAAACGTAAGTTTATTGATTAAAAATTATTTCTATATTATTCGTAGTTTTTATAAATCTTTGAAGTTATTAAAATGAAAAATATTTTTAGGCAAAACAGATATTACAGCTGTTCAAAGAATGAGATTATATCGCCAGCGAAAAAGTAAAAAAAATACAAATGATCAATAAATGTATGTTAATTTCAATTACATGGAGTTCTTCAAACACAATTATTACATGATGAGTGAAGTTGCGAAAATAATATTTGTTTAGGCGTTGTTTAACAGAATCCACTGTGTGAACGAATATTATATAAGTTATTAATCAGCAATTAATTCATTTCTCTAATAAAGATTCATTTCTAAATGCTAATTACAATGACAAACCGATCATGTCATTTTTAAGTATAACTTTAATTACATCATTGTTTTTAAATATTATATATATATTTTAATGCTATTATAAATATATAATATATAATTTATCATTATATAAATGTGTATAATGGTTGACACTAATAAATGTGTGCATCACGAGTGCTACCATATTACTAATAAACATTATTCAGAATTGATATATGATATATTTATTTTTACTTAACGTAAAATTGCTACTTTGTACAGTAGCAAATAAGTTTTATTTCAATCGCGTTTGATTTTTACGCGCACTCTTTTGTTTTTTTTTTGTCATAGAAAGCCCTGATGCTCTAACAACCCGGGTACAATCCCAACTCCAGCCAGTTGGGTATCAAGCAGAATTATATGTTTTCACTAAAAATCATAAGACTTAAATGAATACATTTTTTCGAAGGCACAGTCACTGAAAATATGAAATCAAACAATACTGTTAAAAATAGTCATAATATGAATAGACAGGTGGATATAGCGTACAGCATATTTTTTGCCAGTTAAAATAATTTGTATAATGAAACTACTTCTCATAGGCCTATAAAATTTTAAAGTGTTCAGTTTGACTATCAACCCTATCATCATGCAAAGTTTCATCAAAATCCCAGAAGAGTAATCCTGAGGTTCTCCTTGTGAGTTGCTTACGAACAAGCCATACCCTAAGATATCAAAACCATATTAAATATCGTCGTTATATACAGTTCGCAATACAAGTCTTTTTATATTTCAAGAAAGTTTTAATTAAATTAACTCAGAATATAGTTTATTATATCATCCACAAAACATCATAGATAAACATCGATAAATCTCATTTGTGATGCAGACACGACCACTCGGCAAGCTTTCATCTTTCCCATGAAAGATTCGCCAAAATTTCATTACGGCCGTGCTGTTTCTCGAGCAAAAGGAAAGAATATAGAAAACTGTACAACTAGATATAAACCCGGGTCGACAATTAGATTTCCCTTGTTGGGAGTGAAGTTTTCCGGCCGAAACTTGCCTCTACTGAACGAAAGAAAACTGAAATGGTGGAGATTCAATTTTATTTTATATATTTTTTCATGTTTGAATAAATTTGTTAAAGTTTTGTAAAATATGTAAAAAAATACATATATTCAGTCAAATATTGTCAGTTTGACAATATCTGACTGAATTACCTATTGACTAAAAATGTCTATTTTTCTAAAACATCCCTGTGTAATAAATAAATGGCGTTTATATACGTTAATATTAGAGGGTGTTTTACTTTAACAATATACAAACTATAAAGAAGAAAAAAACAAAGCAAGTTAGGTGTTCAGGTAAGTTTTTTCCACGTGGTTATCAATAAATAGTAAATGCAATAATTTTTGGTCAAATGACATAGAGAATGCCATAGTAAAAATTGGAGAAAAACCAAATCAAAGCAAAATTAATGTCATAGTAAATTTTGCGAAATAAGATTTGAGTAACAGGGCAGGTTAGTGTACAAAGGTCCAATTTGAATTTGAGCAATTATATTATAAAAACTAAACAAATTATATTAGAACGAAAAACAAAAATCAAGCGAACAACTATCTGACTATGTTCAGTAAAACTCCCAGCTAATTCATCATTGTAGAATTATTTTTGCTGTTTTTCAAAAATTTGTCACCTGGTCCTTTTTACCCCATAGGCGTGGCAAAAGGGGACAGCACGTGGGCAGCCCGGGGTCATATAAGTCCAATGTCATATTGTCAATGTCATATTTTTATTTTAAAGGAGTTTTACTAAATAATAGCTACATATGGAGATAACACTGAATATAACCTTGATCTGGTATTTCGTCAGAAAAAATCATCAGCAGAGTTCGAATAACTATTTATTTAACTTATTTCTCGTGAAATTGCTTTTTGAACTCAATATACTATTCTATTCACTAGTTTTCATTGTTTACACCTTTGCCAGGGTAAAGATTCAGTTGGTCCTTTTTACCCCATTC